ATGTTTCTTTTAAAAAGTCATGCTTGTCTGTGCTTCATTCTGAATTTTCTTCTCAGTTATGTATTTTAAAAAAATGTTTAGGGGCAGCTAAGTGGCACAGTGGATAGAGCACTGGCCATGAAGTCAGGAGGACCTGAGTTCAAATCCAGCCTCAGACCAAATACTTGATACGTACTAGCTGTGTGACCCTGGGCAAGTCACTTAATCCCAACTGCCTAAAAAAAAAAAATTACAAAAAATGTTTAAAAAATGTTTTACTGGCTCTTACTTTTCTTCTCCCCTTCCTCCTTGATGTAACTGTTTCTATATCCTGTAAACTCCAACTTACTCAGTTCAAACAGAAAAGAAAATTCTGTGTAACAAGCTTAGTTACATCTAGACAGTCACCTTATCCAAAAGTGTACGTCTCTTTCCTACTTCCTGCTTTCTACAGTAGTGTGTTCCCTTTACTATTCCTTTTCTTTCTCCTATTAAAATGCTCAGAAAAGAACTAATCCATCACTAGGTCTCCTGTTGTTTTTTTTTTTTTTCCTTCCTCGATACTTTTTGAAGACACTGCAATTCTGAAGGGACATGTTTCTTCTGTTATTGTAGTGCTATATCCTTCTCATTCCAATAAATTTATCTTTCAAAGTTTTGCTTGATTTTGTAGTTATATTTCCAAAGTTTCCAGGCAGCTCTCATCTTTTTATCAGGAATGCTTGAAAGTCCTCTATTGCATTAAAGGTTTATTTCCTTCCATCCACCCCAATCCTGATCAGATTGTACTTGGCTTTATTGGGTATGTTATTCTTAACTGTAAGCCTATATCTTTTACTTTTTGGAGTATTGAATTCCAACATCTCATTTATCGTAGATGTTGCCAAGTCTTGTATGGTTCTGACTGTAGTTTCTTGCTAACTTAACTGTTTTCTTTCTCTCTGCAGAATATTTTTTCCTTTGATGTGGATTTTGGTTATGAAATTCCTGGGACTTTTACTTTTGATGTTTCCTTCAAGAGGGATTCTTTGTGTCTCCACTTTGATCTCTGATTCTAATTGATCTTGGCAATTTTCATTCATGATTTCTTGATATAGTGTTAGGACTTTAAAAAAAAATCATGGCTTTTTAAAGCAGTCTAATGATTCTTAAGTTATTTTTCGTTGATTTGTTTTCAGGGTCAGTGATTTTTTTATGCCAGACTTATATTTTCTTCTAATTTTTCCAGTCCTTTGATTGTGTAATAATATTTCTTATCTCACGAAGTCATTTATTTCTTTTTAGTCTATTGTAATTTTCAGAAAGGTAAATCATATATTTTCTAAGCTGTTTATTCCCCTTACAATTATTTCCTTAACTTCATTTTTCATTTTTTCTTTTCTGGGTATTCATATAATCCTTAGGGAGATTAACTTTTTCTTTTGAGTCTCTGCTTTTGTAGTTTTTATAGAATTATTCTCTCCTTGATTGAATTTTTGGATGTCTCTGTATCTATAAGAATTATGATCTATAGTCATTTTCTTGTGTTTTATTCCTTTCTTGGCCCCGTTTCTAGCTTTAGGACTTCTAAACTATGCGGTCTCATCCTGGAACTTCCTTCAGTGTCTTGGGCCTACTCACTCTGGAATACCCAGGTGAATAATCACCCTGCAACCTTCCCAATATGTACTATCTTTCTGTAAGGCCTGGCCCCTCCTCCAGTTGTTGAGCTCCTCGTAGAGTCTCCATTTTGTGGAGTGACCCCATTCCCCTCTTGTCTACCTTCATCCCTCCCGTCTCTCCTTTTTAATTCTCTCGTGTATTTGACACATAGGAGAACCAGGAATCTCAATTCAAATTACTTCCATGTGTTCCAGGTTTATAGGTAACTTGGGAGGCAGAAGAATATTCTTGAATAGGATATCCCAGTGATCCCCTACTATTTAGAATACTGAGCTATTGTTTAATTTTGTTATGTCTTATCCTTTTTTTTTTCTGCCTGTGTTATATACTATTTAAAAAAAATTAAATGGGGGGCAGCTAGGTGTCACGGTGAATAGAGCACCGGCCCTGAAGTCAGGAGGACCTGAGTTCAAATCCAGCTTCAGACACATAACACTAGCTGTGTGACCCTGGGCAAGTCACTTAACCCCATTGCCTAGCCCTCCCCCCCCCCCAAAAAAACAACACACATACAACAAAAAAAGTAAAAGCCATTCTTAGCTGTCGGGACTTTACAAAAACAGGCCAACGGCAGGATTTGACCTTTAGGTGTACTTTGCAGATTCCTGGTTCTAGGCAATCAGCAAAACAATAGATGAAGTCCTGATTTGTAGGATGTTTCTGAGGTGAAATTGTGGGCTGGTATGGTAGGTACAGCTAGGTGGTGCAGTGGATAGAGCAGTAGGATTGAAATCAAAGAAGACTAATCTTCATGAGTTCAAATCCGGACTCAGAAACTTACTAGCTATGTGATCCTGGGCAAGTCATTTAACCTTGTTTACCTCAGTTTCCTTGTCTGTAAAATGACCTGGAATAGGAAATAGCAGATCACTCCAATATCTTTGCCAAGAAAACCCCAAGTGGAGTCATGAAGAGCCAGACACGACTGGAAAAACAACATTATAGGTACAACTCACTTTAGCACAACATTGTTTCCAGTAAATGTAGAAACTACTGATTAAGGAACATTTAACATGTCTTCCAACTCCAAAATCTTTCTTCATCCAAAGGTCCCTTAGTAAAAGGGTTTGGGTGGTGCCTTAGCAATCGATATTAAGGTAGAATTCTGAAACTGTTGTTCGCTGTGTACTCGCAGGAAATCTTACCCAACCCTGCCTCCACCATGATAGTTTAGAGAGCACTGAAAAATCCTTTGCCTCACATAGATTATGGTTTATATTGGCTTCCTCTGTTGTAGCTTTTAGCATATTGCTCTGTTATACTTTCTTCACCTAATTGAAAAGGTTTTGGCATTAGTGTTCTCATTCTCATCTCATTAACTACATAGAGTTAGGATTATTGGCTGTCCATTAACAGCATAGAGCTAGAAGCATGGATTATTGAAAGGGGGGAGGGATTGGGTCCACTGGGGAAGGTTCTATATCCTTATACACTAAAGTAATATGGGATTTGTTGCCACTTGCTATGTCCAATTGGAATCTATTTGTTAATTAGAAAAATACATAGAAGTGGAGGAAGACTCCATGACCAGAAAATAATGGTGACTCCATTTACTTAGGTTTGGTTTTGGTTAGGGGTAAAGTAGTTATATTGAAATAGGAGGAATTCCTTCTTTGATAAAGGCTTTCCGTGCCTTTATCAAACTCTTCATAGCTTTTCAAGGTATGTGGTGTGGTGAAGTAAGAAGGGAAGAATGAATGAAGGAATAAATGAAGTATGAATAGTTATATATATTACTCTGTGAGGACAGACACGGAAGAAGGAACAATAAAGAAAATAATTGAAACAAAACAAAAATTCTAGAGAATAAAGGAAACCAGAAATTAATAGAAACTTTTTGTTTAATTTTTTTAGAGTTGCTTATGAAGCCTTTGTGAATACTGTATGGTACTATATTAATAATAAATGCTGAAAGGAAGTGTGTGAGTGTGTGTGTATGTGTATGTGTGTAAAACATGTATTTTTCCTTTTTCCCAAATTGAGAAGGGCCTGGGATTCCATGGGGAAATACTATAATGAACTAGAATGTAGAATGGACTATCCTAACTAGGGAGATAAGCTACACAGTAATAGGGAACCTGAAGTTTTTTATGCCCTTCCACAGCAACCATCAGATGTTGAGCCATCTGTAACTCTGTTTTTCCTTCTTTCTTTCTCCATATTCTTTTTTAAAAAAAAAATGCTACACTAAAGAAAAACCACCAGATAAATCGAACATTTCCCCAAAAATTGCAAAACAGAAATGCAGAATTTGTGTGTAAAATTGTGAAGCAATTATGTAGGACTTAACATTTTCAATATCCAATCAGTCCAACATGTCACTTTCAAAATTGTACTATTTGTGATTTCTTCTGTCCTTCCTTCCCATTTTAGGAAGTCAAGGGGGGCTGGGACTGTATCTCTTCCTCATCCTCCTTCTTGACCTCTCCTCCCACACAACAAACACCATAACCTTTGTAGTAAATATACATAGTAAAGCAAGGCAAAGTGGTGGTACTTATGAATTAGTATTTGTACCACTGAAATTTTCTTCACTGATTAAAAAAATACATTGTTGCAGTATTAGGTTAAAATATTTTTTTTTTCAAACTTGATGCTGATAATCTTGTTTACAAATATATTTATCAGACTTAAAATTGGTGGTTTAAGAGCAATAAATAATCTATGCATGATATATTTTTGTTTTTAAAACATTTACAGGTTTTCTATGATTTGTTTTCATTGGTATTTTAGTTGGATTATTCTTCATATTTAATTACTACATCTATGATTTTCTGTAATTGAAAAAGGGAGTTGAAAATAAAATTGCTATTTTTTTCAGACATTAGATACACATTAATGCTTAATGTTACTATAGTAACACGCTTTGTAGGTAGTTTAAGGAATGAGAGAATAGTATGATTGTATTTTGCACTTCAATTTTCAGTGTATAACAATATAAAAACAGAAAAAAATTCACAATATAACATGTAAAATTTGAACTTGAACATATGTCCCCATTTAAAAGTGTTTAGAAATTAATCTTTTAAAATTTATTTGTATGGGAAATACTGCACAGTGTTGATAGTAGCTAGATAAAATTGTTATTTTGAATAGAATTTTTTTTTGGACAGCCTAAATGTAATTTTAATTAGTGAAAAGGTACACATTTAAGAATTTTTTTCCTACTGGAGTTTTAATTTAAAATTATACATTTTCTAGGTGAAAATAATAACTCTTAGAAACCTTTCCACATAGTCTCTAAACAATGTATTGGAAATGTTTGTGACTATGATCTTTTTCCTGGTCTCATATGTATTTGAATAAAGTTTTCCATTTGCACAAAAAGCCAAAGTTAACTTTATGAATGAAAAATGCAGGACTTAAGGAAAAATCTGCCTCAGCAAAATCAGTCTTACCTGGACAACCAGACGACCATTTACAACCAGAAGATCAGGCTACAAGAAAATCAGGTAAGATTGTCCTATAATAAGATCTCTCATTCCCCCTTACTTCATTTTCCAGTTAGGAAATTAAAGCCCAGAGGTGTGAAAACTTGTTCAAGGTCACAGAGCTAGTAGAGGTAAAGCTGGGGCTGGAAGAGTATCCTGATTCTTATCCCAATGGAAATTTCACTTTACTCTGCCACCATAAGTGCTTAAAATTCAAAGTGAGTTTCCTGCTTTAGTTTTGTTATCAAAATTATTTTTAATAGTATTTTATTTTTTCCAATTATATGTAAAGATAATTTTCAAAATTATTTTGAATATACATAAATCATTTATATTTTTTGTGAGAAAGCAAAATGATAAAAAGATGGAGAGTTCATCTCCGAGTGAGGAAGACCTAGTTTCATGTCTTACCTTTGATGTAACTGACCATGTGACGCCTGGGCGAGCCTCTTAATCCTTCAATATCCCAAAGCTATAAATTGGATAACAGATGCTTATTTGCATTGGTATAGAACAGGGTTTCCTAGACCAGGATCTCTGAATTTTTTCTTTTTTTTTTGTTTTTTTTTGTTTTGTTTTTTTATTTTGGCTAGGCAGTGGGGTTAAGTGACTTACCTAGGGTCACAAAGCTAGTAAGTGTCAAATGTGTGAGGTCACATTTGAACTCAGGTCCTCCTGACTCCAGGACCAGTGCTCTATCCACTGCGCCACCTAGCGTCTCTGAACTTGTTTCTTAAAAAAAAAAATTGATAATCATTTTAATATGATTGTTTTTCTTTGTAATCCTATGTATTTTATCCTTTGTGTTTAAAAACATTTTTCTAGGGGCAGCTAGGTGGCACAGTGGATAGAGTACCAACCCTGATATCAGGAGGACCTGAGTTCAAATCCGACCTCAGACCAAACACTTAACACTTACTAGCTGTGTGACTCTGGGCAAGTCACTTAACCCCAATTGCCTAAAAATAAATAAATAAATAAATAAAATTTTTCTGAGAAAACATGCATAGACTTCAGTGCCTTTCCAAAGGGGCTTATGATACTACAATTAAAAGCCCCTATGGAGAGAATTTGCCAGTAGGGCACGCAAATGCTCTACCTCCTGCCTGTCCCTGCCATTTAGATTCCATAAGATACCCAGAACATCATCAAAGACAGCTGCCAGTGTGCAGGGGTACTCGACTTCTTTCCTCACACTCCCGTCCAACTTTACTGCCAATGCCTAATCCCTTCCTGACCACTTGTAAAGTTTGTAATGTCAGCGCTTCACACGTAGGAGGCACTTAAACATGCTTTTTTATTCATTACTTACTGAGGGTTTCCTACACAGGTGAAATTGCAGGCCTGGACAAAAAGGAGGAAGTTATGCTATCATGGGCCTACAGACTGAGAAATGGCTAATATATTTAAGAAGTGATTATTAAGAAATTTGTTTGTGTCTCTCCCATTGGCAGTTTTAGCCACAACACACTATTTACTGAGAGATTTAGGTTTGATGTCACAACAAATCTTCCCAACGATTTGAGTTGTTAGAGTGGAAGGGATTATTTCAGGACATAGTAACTGTCTTTTAATAGAAGGCCATGTTATAGAAGAGATTCTTATTCTTTTGATATTTTTTCCAACTCTGATATTTTTTAATCATGCTGTTTGAGAACTGAGGGAGGGGGAAATTATTTCTAGCTTGGGATTAGAATGGGATTCAAGAAGAAGGTATTGAATGAACTGGGTATTAAAAGATGAGAATGATTTCCCTAGTTGCAGTTGTGGAGGGAGGTTTTCTAGGTATAGAGAATGGCATAAGAAATGAATCCCAGAATTCTGAGGTTTTAGTGAAAGAACCTGCTGAGGCAGACCTTCTGCTTTTAGATCACTAAATTTTCCATGCCTGATGCCTTAGTCTACCTTTGGGCCAAGCAGATTCCTTCTTCGAGCCAAGCAAATTCCATCTTCAAGCCAAGCAAAACAAATCGAACTCACCAGTCTGGAATTTGAGTCTGGTTACTTTAAACTCATTGAGGACAGCTAGCTAATCTCATTCCATAAGGAGATGAATAAATGCTAGCTGTTCTGTCCAGTTCAGTATGTTAATGAGGCCTGTTAATTTTACCTTTGTTAACATCTTTTGCATGTACCCCCTTCTCTTCTCTGACATTGCCACTACTTTGGTACATGCCCTGGTTGCCTCACACCTGCACTGTTGCAATAGCCTGTTGTTTGTTTTGCTTGCCTCAAGTCCCTCCCTACTTGAGTCTATCCTCTACTCAGTTGTTAGTAATCTTCCTAAAGCACAGTACATTCCTCCCCACCCCCTACTACTCAGTAAAGTCCAGTGATTCCCTGTCACCTCTAACATCAAATATAAAGTCCTCTGGCATTGAACCCCTTTTCCTCAATCTAGTGATACTATTTGGAAAATGATTATCATTAAGACATTTTCAGAATTTATTGACTGTTTTGCATTTAGAGACAGAGCTCCAACAGATGTTAAAAAGTTGGGAATGTATGCAACACTTCTAAGGCATAGCAAGTACTTTAGCTTAACTAGAGAATAAATTACCTGGAGTAGTGTGGGAAACTGAGAACAGTAGTAGATAGATAGGGTAGCAGATAGAAGAACATGAAAACTAGATCAGAGTTTGGAATTGATTCAGGAAGCAACGGTGTGCTCTCAATGTTCCAACAGAGTAGTAACGTGGTTAGATTTAATCTTAAGGATGGTGAATTCAGTCACATTGTGAGTGGAAGAAATGACTAGAGAATAGAAAATGAATTAGGCTATTCCTACAGTTTCAGTAGTAATGAGATTCCATTTCAGGTTAAGTGGCAGTGGAAAAACAGCATGTAGAAGATGGATATTATGAAAGATGTTCAAGACGTGGAATTACCAAGACTAGTCTACTTGATTAGGCAGCTAGATGGCTTAGTGTATAGAGTGGTAGACTTGGAGTCAGAGTGACCTGAGTTCAAATCCTGTCTCAGATACTTTAGGCAAGTAACTGAATCTATCTGCCTCAGTTTCCTCATCTGTAAAATGGGGATAATAATAGCACCTACCTCCCACGGTCATTGTGAGGATAAAATGAGATAATGTTTGTAAAGTGCTTTGCAAACCTTTAGACATTATATGTTGATGTTAATGCTGACATCATTATTACGTTGGTGTTGCTGTAGAGGCATGTGACAAATCAAGGCTTTAAACACAGGTCGGTGGGTAAATTATGGTACTTTTGAAAGAAATAAATATAGTGGGTTCTGACGTTATTAACCTTAGCTACATCTTACGTTGGTAACCTCAATAGGTGATAATGATAGGGTGCTCGGGGGCCCAGCCCTAAGATGTGTCTCTGGAAGCCTTCCAATTTCTAAGTAGGCCCAAGACCTGTGAGAAAACTTTCTCTTGTTGCAGAACACATAGATGCAGAAGTGCCTGGCCCAAGGATTTTTATCTCTGGCTGGCCCAAGGACTCTCCCGCACGCCAGATCCCCAAGATCTATGTCTCTGATACGGACTCCCTCAGTGTCTGGATCAGCAAAGTTATCTCTACGGATTCCCTGCGTTTTCTGATCCATACGTCATAGGTGCTTGCTCCCAAAAGACACTTGGATCCCTAAATTACCTAATTAGAATCCTTGGCATCCTTTCCCTTGTCCCTTTCCCATATAAGCCCTGGCACTATCCTCATTATCTTGCAGGTTCTGTAAGGACTCTTACCCACTTTGGCTAAAGCATTACAATAAACTTTTTGCTACTTGACTAAGAGAAGACTTGAGTGTGTGAATTCGTTCTAGGCAACTTTGCCTTGGCATTCTCAGGGTCCCAGCACCCCCAGAGCTCTTCAATAGGACAACTTTTTTTTTTTTGCTTTTTTTGGCTTCTTATTGACCATTTATAGCTGTTTCACGTAGTTCAGAAAGAACCATTGTGGAGAGCTTCCCCTCTGCTGTGGTTCCTAAGTGACTGTAGGGCTTAGATAATTCTTCCTTCTAAAAGATAACCTTGTTTTGCATACTGCAGTTTGTATGTTATTACTTTCTTTTCATCTTTTTCCACTCCTCTCCTATTCCAGGGAGAACCTGGAATTTGTCCTTTTGCTAAATACTTAATATACTATAAGGTAGTTGCTCATCTTATTAATATTCTGTTGGAAATTAGCTTTTTAAATAAGTAGATTATTTTTATTTGTTATATTTGAAGTCTAATTCAAACATGCTAATATAGAATCTGATAATTGAGTAGTCATTAAAAGGAATTTGAGAAATATTTTGTTTAGACATTATGAATCTGTCTATAGTCTTTACTAGCTAATAAAATTACAGGATAGAATTTTGGGTTATAATTAAATGTTAAATGTCTTTTATTGAGTAAGACTGTGCCCCAAATTAAAAATATGATAGGCAGGAATAAAGGAGGCGTTAATTCATTTTTAGAAGTCACATAGAAGTCTTGAAAATTTGTTTGTTCTGATAGCATTTTACCAGTTTCATGAAGTTAGCAGATCTCTTTCTCACTCTGAATATCTATTTTGTCTGTCTGCCTGCCTGCCAATTTGTCTGTCTGTCTCTCTACCTATTTTTGTCTAAATTTGTGACTTCACTGATACAAACAACTCCTGGTGAGGAAACATTTTCTCTCAGTGTAGATGCTGTTCTGTAACTAGGACACTGAGAGGTTCAGTCATTTGCATAGACTCATATGTGTCAGAAGTGGGCCTTTAACACTATGTTTGACTTTGAGGCTGGGTCTGTTATCTATCCTACAATGCCCCTCAGAGAAAAAATACATGCTAAACTAACATGAACAAATTAATATACTTCATTGCCTGAAGATTTACAGTTAAGTTTATATAAATTGATTTCATGGTGAATGTGCACAAGATTTGGGATATTTATATTTTTGTTTGTTTGTTTTTTTTACTTTTAAAAAAATAACTTTTAGAACACCAGAATGTTGAAAATGAAGTGGAAGAAAACATTCAGTTTGTCCTTAAAGAAGCACTGCAGACACAACATGGTATGAATTAAAATTTATTATTTTATGATTGTCATATAAAGAATATGTTGGGACTGAACTGAATCCCAGTTGGGACTCCTGAATTTGATCATATTTTTTGTGATTATGTATTTTTAAATGCAATATTTCCTAAATTAATTTGACCATAGAACAACCTGGAGATTGTACTGTTCTATGAAAACCTTAGTCTGGAGATATGGAATACCTCTTGGTTGGGGTTGAGGACATAATGCATTTTTGATTTACAGAGTAACAGTATGTAGAACTAACCACATGGACAGATTTACACTGATATATTGGTTGTGATACATAGCAAGCTGTTTGATTTCCTTGTTAGATGGATATAAAAACAAGTGTTTTTCTAGTCTAAACTTGGTTCCTCAACTATCTGCTAATACATACACGCACACGCGCACACACACACACACATTATAAACTATAATACTTATTTAGAGGTTAGACTTCTGGTAACCTCAACCATTTGGAACTGTTTTAAATCTTGAAGTGTTTAAAAAAAAAAGGGAACTTCAGAACAGTGACCATTTACAAAATGACTCAAGATTCAGCTTGGTGTAGGGAAAAGACCACTGAATTTGGAATTACTAGATCTCATTTCGAATACTGGCCCTGTTACCTATCTGTGAGACCATGAAAAATTCGTTCAACATACTAGTTACTTAAACACTTGTGACTTCAGTATCCTCATCAGTAAAATGAAGAGTTTGAGCTCGATTACTTCTTCAAGCTCTAATTTTGTGATCCTGTGGCTCAAAAATTATACATGATAGAATGTAATTGGTGAGTTTGAAAAACCAAAGGAAATGCAAGGGTTCTAAAATCCCAACCTTAGCAGTATGAAAGCCAAAGAAGCACAGGGTAAGCAACAGTGAAAGGGATGGAGAAATGAAATGAGAGAAAAGAAAAAAAGTAATAAAAACTGTGATGGGGGTCAGCAATTAGTTCTGAGAGAGGCAAAAAGGGATAGGGCAAAAGAAAGATGGCTGTTCTCCACTTAGAAGTAAATGAACAAAGGTAAGAATAGCTTTTTAGTGTAAGACACAAACAACCTTAGACTACTCAGGAGCCTTGGGGTAATTGCTGTCCTATAATAAAGGCACCCCATCTGTGCTTTGCCATTTGTGGGAGACTTTTCTTGAAAGGGCAAGTTATTGTAAATCTTACTCATTTCACTAGCCTTAGAGGACATCCATATAACAATGTAACGTTACAATGAAAATGCCCAACCATTATGAAATAGCATTATATAGGCTTTTAATATAATATAGTGGCAAGTTCAGCTATAATAGAGTGCCATAATCTATCATTTAATATCCTTGAGCCTTGGTTTTCCCATCTGTAAAATGGGGATGATGATGATGACAGTATCTGCCTTACAGAATTGTTAGGTTTAAATTAATCATTGTCTATAAAGTGCTTTGCAAACTTTAATGGATTATGTCGCTATCAGCTATTCTTAGTATATTGTAGATACAAGTCAAAGACGGTGATAGATAAGCTTGCAAAGAGGTTTATGTAATCATGTCATTCTAAACTAACAACCACCCTGTGAGTGAAATACTATAGATATTAGAAGATGAGGAGAACTGAGACCTGAGTGAAGTTAAGTGGCTCCTGTTCCTAAAGCTCAGAAGGGTCACAGACAGAACTTGATTCCAGGTGTCTCCTGATTTCAAGTCAAGCATTTTTATCATTACCCTGTGCTTTCTCTCAAGCATGAGAAAGTCATGTTCACCTTAAAACCAAAGAAAGAGTTGTATATAACCTAATTAAGAAGGACAGATAGGGGACAATTTTGATCTTTTAGTATATTTGCTTCTGATATTTAATCACTCAAATACTTGAGAAGTAACCTTTATATATAATGTGTTGTGACACCAGAAAGCATAGCTGGGCAACTTCTTTGCAAATTCTTAAGGGAATCCCACTGGGTACCAGTATATCATGTATCTAGCTAAATTGAGATGATATGATCATGTTCTATGTGAGTGCATCTTAGTGAAAAGTTGGAAGTGACCATTCCAATAGGAATTAATGATAATTTGATGGGGTCAAAAGATTTTTTTGAGAAAATTCAGGGTATTGAGCTCTATATTTTTATTTTTGGTAGGTGGCTTTGGCATTTCAAAGGCCGATGTGGAAGTAGAAGGCTCTCTCTCCACACAGATATATATATTTATATACATATACACACACATATGTGTAAGCCACAGATGAAGACTCACATGACCTGACAGAGGGGAGTTATTGGAATGAGGGCGCATTGCAATTCTGAGGATTCAAGTGACAATATGGAATTGCAAAGCTGGAATATTGGGGTGAGGACCAGGACATTTGTGATATAGAGGAGATAGGTGCTGAGCTAATGAGAAGCCACTGTGGCACAGAGCTCCTCTTCTCATTTTCTCTTATTCCTACAGTCAGATTGTTGCAAGAAAGGTTGAAGCAAAGAGCATATAGGGAGTTGTGGTGATAATTATTGTAACAGGTTTCACGGGGTAGCAAAACAGATTTTAATTTTTCTTTCTCCTTGGTTCTTGCCCTTTTACCTACCTTTCCCTTTGCCTATATCCTGTCATACCACACTCTTATCTTTATTGGTTTTGTAGTAAATGGAGGAGGAGAGATTAGGGACAACTGTTCCAGGTAGTAATGGGCTCTGAAACATTGGGGGATAGTGGGGAGAGGAAAGAAAGGATGGGGAAAAACACCAGCAGAGGAGCAGCAGTAATTGAAGGGGAGTTCTTATGGCTGATTAATACAGGTTGATATACAGAACAAGTAGATATATGAGAGAATACCCATCGTGTCTGGTCATCAGTTTTAGACTGTCAATCTTTTACTTTATTTAAAATAGAAAATGACAAGGAAGAAGAGGCAGTTGAAGCAGTAGAAGAACAGCAAATAGAAAATGAAGAAGATATTCCTATGAGAAGTGAGTTAGAAGATAAACTTGAAGACTTGGTAACAGAAACACTTCATGAAGGTATAATAGGTTTTCTGGTGCAGTCACTAAAATGCAGAAGACAGTTTTAAAATATGATTGTATGATTTATTTTCAATCCAATTTGACATACTTATGCTTTAACTGAAGATATCTTTACTTACCCCAGATTTTTTGCAAATTTTATGTTTTGCTTTGTGGAATTTCAATTTTGGTATCTTGGAATTCAGAATCCTCATCTCTGAAAGTACCACCTTCCTCTATTATGTTATACAAAACTCCCATTTTAACCTTGCTATTTTCTAGTCCTTCTTATCTTTGTCTTTCCTTTCTATTATGCTCTCTGGAATCTTCCTCTTCTCCCCATCATTAAAAACCAAAACAAAGCAAAAGAAACTCCCCGTTGTCCTAGCTTTTTTCTTTTCACAGTCTGTCTTCTCAAGTTCATGGGAGGGGAAAACCTTATTCTTTCCTAAAGTCCCAGCGTTTCTGGCCACTCCTTCTAGTGCTAGCTGCTCCTTCTATCATGTTCTTCCACATTGAGTCAGAAGGAATTGTCACATCTTGTCACTTTTATATTTTACCAAACCAGAGCCTTCATGTAGGAAACCTTCAAATAGAAAAAAAAATAACTTTAAAAAGCCTATATACCTAAGTACATATATGTATAATGCACATATATAATATATAATATGTGTTATATATATATATTAATTATAACCATCAGTGATCATGAAATCAGGGGCAGGAAATGTATGGCAGTGGCAAGTGCAGTTATATTTTCTATAAATTCTATTCAACTATTCAAGTGCTGAGTATAAGTTCATTATGCTGGATACTTCAGGGCCTATCACATCCTGGTTTGGCCACCAACTTAAGCTTTGATCACGTACAAGGCATTGAACTTTGCTGCCCTTGTTTCCTCATCAGTAAAGGAGGAGGTTGGACTAGATAAAATGTAAGACTCCTTTCAGTTATAAAAATTCCATTGTTCTTCTATTTCTGAATTTATGTTTGATTCCTTAACTTACTAAGCTTATCTAGAAAGGTGAGGTAGAACAATCTCAATTTTATAATAGTAAACAGAATTTTATGAGAGCCATAAGAAAAGTATGAACTGAGAAGTAAGGTATTGCAGAAGAAAGAGGCAACTCTTACCCTCTCCACAGCTTCAGCTGCATATAGGAATCTCAACTTGGATGTCTCACTGGTGCCTCAATATATCATGCCCATAATAAACTTAACCCCTAACCCTTATCTTCTTCTGACATAATGCTATCTATCAGCACCACCATTCGTCTTTCCTTGTCCTCACTTGCTATATCTGAGCAGTCAATAGCTAAGCAATGTTGATTCCATTTCATTCATCTGCTTCTCTTTTTTGGCTACTGCCACTATCCCAGTCTAGACAAGCCTTCCTTACATGCCTTCTATATCAGGGATTTGGAACCTGGGGTCCATGTGGATACATTTCAGTGGGATCTGTGAACTTAGATGGGGGGGGAATCACATTTATTTTTACTTTGTTTTTTATTATAAATAAAGATAAGTATTTTTATTATTTAGATACTACATTTTTATTTTCACTAACCTAGGACCAAAATTTTATATTTCTCTCAATTCCGAATGTAGACAACAAACCACAGTGGTATTAAACTTTAGTATACTGCCACAGGAGTCTGTGACACAATACAATAAGATCCTTTGTTCTAGACTATTATAGTCGTCTAATAAATCTTCCTATCTGCACCCTCCCTATCATAACCCATCTGCTATACTGTTTTCCTTATGCATAATCCTGGTCTTATCACTGCTCAGAAATTTTCAGTTGTTCCTTACAGTTTATTAAATAAAATCCAAATGTTTACTTAATATTTGAGAACATTCACAAATTAGCACTGTCCTATCTTTGCAGCCTCAATCTCATTTTATGCAAAGGTATACACACACACACACGTGTGTGTGTGTGTACATAAATACATACATATATACACATATATACACACACACACACATACATACATACATATATATATGTACTCTGCATTTTGAAGGAGAGATCACATCTAGATGGGAAATCAGGAAAGGCTTATGAAGAAAGTCATATTTAAGCTGAGACTTGATATATTAGTAGGAACCAATAAGAAACTGTAGGATTGGATGGAATGGCATGTGGATAACTGTGGAACAATATTATAGAGTCCAAATAATAGGAAATACTACATTAGTTATTTGTCCATTTTTTACTTACATTCTTATTCCTCTTCTCATGATTGAACATTTTTCAGTTTTTAATATTTAATCTCAGGTTGGTAGGGTGCAAGCAGGAGATGGTGTGAGATGGTAGAAAGGGAAAACTGAAATAGGACTTTGAGGAGATTTATGTTCTGTTCTTGGTTGTGTTATTAACCATATAATTTTCAATTTTTTTTCTTATCACAAAAGGAAGGCCTTAATTCCTGCATTACCTAGATCATAGGATTATTAAGGAGAATCAACTGAGAGTGTATTTTCAAATATAAAGAATAATAGAAATACAAAATTTCACCATTTGTTTTATATTATTGTTTAATAGGCAAAGATATTGAATATTAATATACTTTTATAGATTTAGGTTCAAGTTACATAGCAGTTAATAAATTCATTAAAAGCATACATCTTATTTTTCAGAAACTGAAGATAGATACTATCAGACAGAAGGGCTTGAGTCAGGTGAGATTTTATAAAGTACTTTTTTTTCGCCTGATTAATGCTAAGAAGAAAGTATTTTGCTATGAAAGAGTATTATGATTTAAGTGGAATCCATTTTTTCAATAAATGTTTTTCCTTTTAAAATTGTTAGACATTATCTATGGGCTTAGGTTAGCTTACAGATTATGAATCACTTTTAATGATAATTTTTAAAATGTCATTTCTTAATTTTCAGATTCAAATGAATATAGTAAGGATGTGGAAGAGATTGTATACAAACAGGAAAATCCAGGTTTGTGACCATCAGGTATATCACATCATGAAAATGAACTTTCAGTATACGCACACACATGCAATTTAATTTTCATCCAGGCTCATAAATGAAAGATTGGGGAAGGACTCTTTTGGCCTTGGGTACTTGGGGAAGAATCTTCCACTATTATTGATCAAGAGAATAGGTGATATCAAGTTCTGCTCCTAGGGAATGTTTTTTTCAGTTGAATAATTTATTGAGTTTTTCAATGTAATGATGACTTGTTAAAATGGTTAAATATTTGGAAAAGTACAACATATTTTAACTTAACCATTCCTTTGGTTTGCCCTATAACGTGAAATATATATATGTATATATATATAGATCTATCTATCTATCTATCTATCTATCTATCTATATATATATGTTTGTGTGTATGTGTGTGTGTATGCCACTGGATAAGATATGAATTGATCTTTTTAGTTTTATTGTTGAGACAACATATTCAATCTGATTTATCTTAATTATTTCCAGTCTGTATGAAAACATTTATTTGCAATACTTCTGTAATTTTGGTAGGTTATTATAAGACAGTGGAGTAATAGAGATGAATGTTTTTCACACTATTACTAGGTTCTTAACTTTATTCCAAACATTTTAAATGTAAACACTAAATAATATATGCAACTTACCTTGAAAATTTTAAAAAGATACATTTAATTTTCCTTTATAGATTACCAGGAGATTATTGAACCAGGAGTCAAAGATACAACACTGGAGTATGTTACAGGTATGATAAACTACAGAATTTGTCTTGAAATTTTTTGGAAAGGAATCAGATTACAATTTTTAAATGATCATTTAGGGCTCTTAACTTGAAGTACGGCGCTTACGTGATTTTTTTTTCAAAGCGTGTCTCAGAGTAGTTTTTGGGGTGCCTTCATTATGATGTTTTGGATTTCCAATAACATCAAAACTTCATGGTAGCCAATTTACAGTTTAACTTTAATTGAAGAAAAGACACTTCATAATATCTCATTGTTACTTTGTAACATAAACAGCTTATTTGAGAGGCGTTGGGTATCATCCTATTATACTAGAAGTTCTTTAGTATCTGTAGATTATAATGATTAAATGTATATAATTGTAAATGTGAGTTAATTTTCTGTCTTAGTTGCTTTTAAATTACTTAATTTTCTAAATACTTATTTTTGTTTCAATTTTTTTTCGTAGAAGACACACCATACCAACACTATGATGAACAAGGTTTGAAAATTATTGCTTATATTTTACATAATAATCATAGACTAAGATATTTAAACCACTATCAGAAGCTATCAATGAAAAATGAGTGTTTCTCTCAAAAGTCATATTATTTCAACTTTGTTATGTCCCAATACATTTTTTTGGAAATTTTGTTTGGGATTTCACTAAAGAGTCAATTTACTCCATAAGAAAAATGATGGAATTTTAGAACTTTAAGGGACCTTAAAGATCATGTAGTCTAAACACTTCATTTTCATTATATTGAATTATTGGTTTAAAAATTTAAAAATTGGTACTTAAAATACCAACTTTCTCACTTATTCACCAGAGCTATGTATAACTTTTAGAATGTGAAAGTACACAAGATAAAAAGAAAGAACAAATAGGGACTCTGCCTGTGGATTTTACTGATAATAATGAACATTCAGGTGAAGAAGGTTAGTACTTTCTGCAGCTTTGAGTCAGCAAGTTGTCTAGGGCAAAGGTGTCAAACATGCAGCTCACAATACTCCCAATGTTGCCTGAACAAGATTAAAATATAATTGGGGAATATTTAACAAAATAAACATAGATAATACATTTTAAGACTCAGCACACTTTACTGTTTAAATTTCAGTTTGACACCACTGGTCTGGAGCATTGAGAAGTTAAGTGATGTGACAGAAACAGATTTTGAAGCCAGATCTTCCTGGCTTCGAGGCTCACTTTTTACTTACTGTGCCATACTGCCTCTCAGTAGCCTATTATACCTTCAGAATTCTGGACATAAATTTTTTTGTTACTTAATACTTAATATTTAGAGGTGAAATATTTCTAACATCTCTCTATCCCTCACACCTAGCACACTGCCTTCCCATAGTAGGTACTTAATAAATGCTTGTTGAAAGGAAATTGAATCTGCTTTTCTTTTTTGTCTTACTATTCATATTGAGCTGAGTATAATTTGGAAAACACTTATCTATTTTGGGAATTGTTTTAACTTAGTCTAGTACACAGTACTAACACAGAAAGTTTTATATTAATATCCCTTTGTTGTGATACAAAGAAATAGTGTGTGATTTAATTATTCATAGGTATATACTTTTTATTCTAAATTGGTTTTGTAGTTATATATTACTTACTTGAGCATTAGAATTCTGTCAGCTTCAACTATCTGGAATTGGGAAAAACCCAGACATGTAAAAAGAAAAAGTGAAGCTCTGAGTAATGACCAGTGTCAAAAGAGCCAAAGATTTAGCTTGGTGTGATGGAAAGAGCAGATCTGGAGTCAAACTACCTTTTCGATCCTGCCTTTGTTACTACTTGCCTGACCATGAGTGTAATTAATTTCAGCTCAACAAGCCAGTCACTTAACCTCCCTGAACTCAGTTTTCTCATCAGTAAAATGAAGGAGTTGGAAAAAAAAAAAAACTTTTTAAGGACTCTTCCAACTCTGAGTCTCTGTTTCTAATTACTTTCCCATTTCAAAAATCAAAGCCACACTCAGAGGACAAAGACATACCACCATTGAGCATATTCAAAGGACTAAAACACAAACACTGAGAAAATTTTAAAAGAGGAGTCTAAAAATGTTTGGTAGTATAGTTGATGTAAGCATAGATTTTTAAGTTGACTAATTTGGGACACAGTAATGACTTATATTAATAAGTTTTGGTATAAGTTTTAAATAATCAGTCAATTACTTTATGATTGTTATTAATGTAATTAAATTAATTCATGCCCTATTTTGAGATTTTATGTTAGACTTATTCATCAATGGTTTAGGAATTAGCTCTACTTCATGAGTTCCTGCTTGTTGAACCATGGGGGAAAACAACTATGTTTGATTAGGATTCATTGTTTGAAGATAATATGAATTATCTGGTACCATCTTGAATTTCTTTTCCCTTTCTGAAATTTTTTTCCTAACCTGGTTTGACTAAAGAATGAGTGATGGGCAGCTCATCTCTTATTAAGTAATGTTTTCATATTTTAAAGCTTTCTAGCATATATTTCTGTAGTATAATAGGATCATAGCATTTGGAACTAGAACGGGTCTTAGAGATCATCTGGTTCTAATTTTTTTCTTATAGGTGAGGAAACAGTCTTGGAGATTTGACATGACTTGCCCAGAATAGCAAAAATCATTTTTGCCATATTAATTTCTTAAATATATTCTAGCTTGAGATAAATAAACTTTTTCTTTTTTTTTAACATTTCTACTTTCATGGGATTCTTATTTTATTGATTCATGAAACTCTATGCATTAACATGAAAAAGATTGGAAACCATTGATGTGCCTCAGCTTTTTGATAACTGTTTTCCAAAAAAAAAAAAGAAAAGAAAATCTATCTATGTTAAAGGACCATGAGAGATGACCGTTAATAACCAAAAAAGTTTGTTACGTGTTGATTATATCTATGAATCAATAAAGGAGACTGAGAAGAAACAGTCACACGAGTAGAAAGATAATGCAATGTTAAGAAAGCCAGGGAAGAAGAGACTGTCCAGAAAGAAGGAGCATCCGAAGCATCTTAAGCTACAGAGAAGTCAAGAAGGATGAAGACTGAGAAGAGACCATCAGGTTTGAGAAGTGAAGATACCAATGGCATCTTGCATGAGAAGAGTTTTAATTGATGGTCTCCCAAAACTCAGATTCTAAGAGACTGTCCAGTTGGAGTAGAGCCAGAGGCATTGAGTATAGACAGCTTTTTTTTTAGAATTTTGGCTGTGAAAGAGAAGAGAGACAGAGGACAATTTGTTGTAGATGTAGGGTAAAGTGGTCTTTTAAGGATTCGAGAGGCTTGGATATGCTTAGAGTTAGCTGGAGAAGGAGACCAATGGATAGAGATTAAAAAAGCATTATTGAAATGGCAAATAAAGTAAAGGTTAGGGGGGTTGGGATCAAAGGTTCTGGAAAGGGGGTTAGTCTTGTCCAGGAGTAGAGCTATTCATCTAGAGGTTAGAACATGAGTGAGAAGAATACGAGATGATATAGAGTGGCTTTGGAAGTGCAGAATAGGGAAGAAGGAGGTAAAGCACTATACAATGCCTGTGTTTTTTTTTAGCTGATTTACGAGACAAAGTCCTCTGCCTTGGAGATAGTAATTAGAAGAGAAGTTTGGTATAGCCTTTATGGGACATGGGATAGAAAATAATCATCTAAGAATAAAACCAAATTTGTAGGGATGCTACATGGTTTAGTGCCTTCCTCCTTTAGTAACTCATCCTTAGATGTGGAGATAGTAGATGTTTGCAAGTCACCTAGTTTTGATATTTCATAAATGATTAGTGGCAGTAGGACAAAAAAGTAAGTGATACACAGGTAAAAAATGGTATTGTTCAACTGCTTATTTTTAGGGTAAAGTTTACAAAGGGAAGCAAGTAGGCAAGAGCAAATATGATGAACTGGAAGTTATGCTGAGAATGAAGTGACTAGGTGGCTGAGGGAAAGATGAAAACATAAGATAATGTGATCTTAAAAAGAATTTCTGTTCTGGATCCTGGAAATGAAAGAGAGATCAGGGAAGGGTATTAACAGCCTTATGTGTAGGTGAGGAGTGCACTGATAGTGTAAAGATTATGAGAGTTGTAGGAGGTAAAAGCACCTGGGAAGTCAAAATGCTTGAGGACCCATCAATATATATAATGAGGTTTCCAAGGATAAGACCAGGAGTTGGGGTGGAGAAGGAATACTGTGAGATAGGTATTGAACTCCTTGACCCAAGAAGCACATGGCGTTGGCAGAGACTGGGACAAAAATTCTTAACCGGTAATACAGATGGACTAAGTGAACCTTAGAAGAGAAGAAGGATTGCCTGGTAATAACCACTAAACTAAAGTGAAGTTTGCCTACTTTCCTTCCTGACCCAGTGGATCAGCCTGAGAGGAGGCACACCCAGAATTAGAGAAGGTGACCTGACTGCATTGCCTTCCGAGGGGAACCAAGAGAACAGAATTAGGAGGGAGAAAGGATTTTTGCTTCTGCAGATAGTGACTGTCCCAAGATAAGATCATGAGGAGGTCGAAGTTTTGCTTGCCACAGGATAGGGGAAGAACTAATTGATAAGAAACTGCACATCTGAGATCCACTGATGAGTTAGCACAAAATCATTGCAGAGGCAAGACCATCAACTTTTACAACTTGTCACTCCACGTACTAGGGAGCCAGGGTGGTAGATGCAGGAAGCAGAAGCTCTATCCAGGCATTTAGTTCAGTAAGTACTTGTATGTCTCTTGGTATGGATTAACTTCACACCTAGTGCTCACCCTACTGTTCTATGCTAGGTCTAAGTCATGCAAGTCTCCTGGTAGTTTACATTTAACGTTAGAATAAAATGAAGCACTGTAGTTAACAAAAAAAGGATTTACTTAGCCTTAGTAAGAGAAGAGAATATCATGGATCCTCAGAGGTGTTGAAATGATAATGCATTCTGATATAGAAGAACCCATTTGAATTTTTTTTTTTCAAATTTTAGGTTTATCCATATAGCCTAGATAAACAGCCCACATATTAGTTTATCTAATTTCTATTCCATCTTCAGTGTGATGATAGTAATAAAATTCCTTCATACTTGGAAATGGTACCAGTTTATTTTTTTATCATCTATTCTTTAAGCTAAAGGGTTGTAATATCTTTAATCTTTCTTCTTTTTATCATTAAATTAAGTATACTTTTGGGACATAGATTTAGGTCTGGAAGAGACTTAAGAGGTCAACACGTACAACCCTCTTATTTTATAGATTAAGAAATGGGCTTATAAAAAGTTAAATGCTTTACCAAAGTCTCACAGCTAGTTTCAGAGGCTGGATTTCAACATATATATTCCTAGCTGCTTCTCTGATTTGCCATCTACCTGTTGGCCTTATCATTCTCTAGAGTATGAGCAGCAACTGCACACAGTTGTTCATTAAGCTGAAATATGTTCTATATGAAATATCACATTATAGTTTACAGTTTTATGATGAAAACTGTAGGGATGATATGTGAATTTTTTTCTCCTTTTTTATAGTCTTTGAACCTCCAGAAAATGAAAGAACAGAAACTGTTTCAGGTAAACTCTTTCTTACCCGTAGTTAATGTATTGTTTGTAGTTAGTTAATCCAATAATCATTTAGTAAGCACCCATGTGCCAAGCACTATGCTAAGTGATGAGGATACAATTAATAAAAGAAAGCTAGTCCCTGCCTTCAAGAAGTTTATAGTCTAATGGGGGAGACAACATATAAAAGCATAGAGGAACTGGGGGGGGAGGTAACAGGACATCATGGGGCATCTTGTATCTTGGAGTTAAAACCATGCAGAATAGCAGATGCAAAGTGTAGTGAGCTGAGAGTCCAGTTTTTGCCCTTTACAGAGAAAGACTTTGGGAGGAGCCCTCAGATGGCTGGGGAGAGGAGGCTGAGGGAGGTGGTATCAGTCAGGGTGTGATTTAGCAGCGTGGTGATGATAATGCATTCTTACAGAAGTGATGAACTTATCCTGGGAGGGGTATCTTGTGTAGAAATGAAACCAGGCAGGGCAGCAATGTGTGGTCTGAAATAACTTTTTTAGAACTTGGTTCTAAGAATAGTTGGAGTGGGGAGTCAATTTTGAAACAAATAATTCTTGGACTATTAATAAATTGTATGTGTGTTTCTGTCTGAATATTTATACTTGAACTTTTAAAAAATATAGTATTTGTGATATTAGGGATCCTATCTTTTGCCTGTTCACTTAGGCTTATTCCCTCTGCCAAGTATGCTTTTCCTTCTCCTCATCTGTCTAGGTCTAGGTCTCATGTTATTTTCTCATTTCAGTTCAACTCAGCAAACATTTATTAAATTCCTTCTATTTTAAGTCATTATGCTCCGCACTGGAAATGCAAAGGAAACAGCTCTTTCTTTTAAGGAGCCCAGATTTTACTGGGTGGATGTGAAAGGTACATAGGTGAGTGTATAGGTTGATAGTGAAGATCATACTGCTCTAGGAATATTTGAAGAGTGAGAGGACATTAATAGCTACAGGAATCAGAAAAGGTTTCAAATAGATGATACTGGAGTTCATTCTTGAAAGGTGAAAGGAAAATGTAGAGAGCAAGAGCATACTGTCCCTTTCCTCCAATCTAAAAGTAACTTCTCAAAAAGATCTTGGCAAGATAGATCATTGGGTCAAATAAAAGAAAATGGAAATCAGGGATAAGTGTAAAGTCTTATATTTGGATATATAACATCAACTTCACAAGTACAGCATGAGGGAGGCATGGTTTGACAGCAGCAGTTGTGAAAAACTGAGGATTTTAGTGGACTGCAAGCTCAGTGTGAGTTAGTAGAGGGATGCAACAACCAAAAAAAAAAAATCTAATGCAATCTTTGGCTGCATTAAGAGAAGCAAAGCTTCCAGGAATAGGGAGGTGATAATGCCCCATCCTTGGCCCTTGTTAGGCCTCCTCTGGAATATTGAGGAGCTAGCATACAGAAGAGGACAATGCAGATGGTGAAGGGCCTTGAGGACATGCTGTATGAACATTTGAAGAGTTGGGGCATGTTTAGTCTGAATATAGTAGCTACCTGCAAGTATCTGAAAGGTTGTATAGAGAAGGGATGAGGCTTGTTTTCTTTGGCCCCAAAGGGCAGAACCCAGAGCAATGAGTAAACAAATTTACTCAACAAATTTAGGTTGGGTGGAGGATGTAGTAACCACTAGAACTGTCCCAAAGTGGATTGGCTTGCTTCAGTAGGTGATGGGTTCCCTCTCATTAGAGGTCTTTAAACAGAGGTTTAAAGATGACCACTTGTTCGATATGTTACAGTATGAACTTTGTTCATGTTTGGATTAGAGTAGATACTACTGAGGTCCCTTCCAACTCTCCAGTTCTTAGTCTATGTGCTTCTTTCTTCACAAGAGTCCTGTGAGAGAGGTGTTATTTTCTTTTTTTTTAAATTAATTTATTTTGAATTATCAACAATCACTTCCATAAGCTTTTGAGTTTAAAATTTTTCTCCCCCTCCCTCCCCATCTCCCTCCCCAAGACAGCACACAATCTGATATAGGCTATACACATACATTCCTATTAAACATATTTTCACATTAGTGTTATTGTAAGTAAGAATTAGAATATTATCTCTTTTTAATAGATGTAAGAAGTAGAGACTTGGAGCAGTTCAGTGACTGAGTTAATCACGTAGTACTAAGTGGTAAAGCCAGAATTCCAATCCTGGTGGGCTGATATTAAGCTCTTTGTACCGTACCATACATCTTTGCATCTAAAGAAGAAGGAAGTGGGAATAGGTACTCCCAGGCACCTCAGAGGATTAATTTCTACTGTTGGACACTAAATTTAACTCTAATTTTCATAACCTAAAACAACATGGGAAACATGTCCTACCATGTACTTTTGCATAGCCATCCCACTGATGTTCATTGCTTTGGTAGTCACAAGGCTCTTGTAAGCATAATAAAAATGATGGCAATTTTTTTTTGTTACTCTTGGGTTATACTATATATGTGTGTGTGTGTGTGTGTGTGTATACATATATATAGTATATAAATGTATATACATAGTGTGTGTATATATGTATACACACACACACACACACATACTATATTCTTGGGTTAAGAAGCAGGTTTTTGTCCTCTCTATACATTTATGCTTTGTTAAAGTAAAATATTTAGAAGAGCAAAAGAAAGATTAATGAAAGCACTTAATAGGTTCCCTATTGGTATGTAGACTTTAAAGATAATGGATAGAAGAGAGCATTTTTAAGAGGCTTCTCTAGCTCTTCAGGAGATCAATTGATGAATATGTATGTATTTTTATTTTTAGACATTGCTGTGGAAGATTTAAACATGGGTGTAGAGGGTAAGTTAATATCTAGAGTTGTTTTTGCTTTCCATAATGAAAATCAAGTCCTTTATATTGATAATTCAGTTCTTACTGTGTTGAAAATATTTGAAAAGTAAAAGTAAATGCTATTAAAGCATTTTTATGAAGCATAAAGCAAAAAAAAAAAACCCAAAAACTTTTAAAGGGAAACAGGAAGAGAGAGACAGACACAGACAGAGAGAGTCAGAATCAGAGACAGATATGTAATAGGATCTGACCAGTGAGTAGAATACCAATTATTAGTATTTAAGTCAGATGTAATACTTATATCAAAAGAACACTATTAGAATAAACAGTTTGATTTTCATAGTAATTTGCAATAAGAATTCAGTTTAACATTTTGAGAAGTAATTTTATAAAGAAAATCATCAGATCAGTAGTAAGCACTTGATTGATTTGTCAATGTACCTAAATTCAGTTCTGAATTTTGAAGCAACCTCTGTAAAAATAGGCTAGGTTATGATCATATATGTTCTAGAAAATATTTTTGAGTATCATTTTTCAGAAGTAAAAATGTAAATAGTACATATGTTATTTTTCAGAATTGTGTTTAAAGTTAACTGGAAAGCTTTTTTAGTTGTGTTAATTATTATTTTAAAAATAATTTTAATTAATTAATATTAATAGTGACTACATAGCACACTTGGCATGTTTCATTCATCCTAAATGTAATGCCATGAGATAGTTATTCTCACATTACAAATGGGAAACAAGTTGATGAAACAAATAACTCTCCAACATATAATTAGTGAGAAATAGAATTTGGGTTAAATCAAAGATCTTCTGACTTGTGCTCTATTGTTTTTTTTTTCATTAGATGGAAGATTTGAAATTGGTGAAATAGTTAAAATTTATTACCTGTTTAATGCAGAGCATTATAACATTGAGAGATTAAAAGTCTTAATATTTAATCAAGTCAGTAATTTATTTTCTGAAGACTACCGTAAAATATTTTCTGATAACTATAGTTTAATTTTTTAAGTCACTTTTATAATATGTGGTGTTAAACGTCAAATTTATCATGTGTAAATTAAGCATTTGTAATTAATGGTTTTTTTTTTTAAATTTCAGAAGGAAATGTATCCCCAGTAGAAGAACAGCATGAAATACCATCAGGTATGACAAGTCATTATTACATAGTTTATTTTCTTTCTGTTTATATTAAAAAAATGTCTCATTTAGAAATTTGTTTAGGAGAAGGAAAGTTAAATCATTCTTGTAAAGTAAGTTTATGAAAAAATAGCAATTTTTATGGTGCCCTAGCTTTGTTTTTTTTTTTTGTTCATTTGTTTGGTTTTTTTTTGGCGAGGCAATTGAGGTTAAATGACTTGCCCACAGTCACACAGCTAGTAAGTGCTGCACCACCTAACTTCCCTGGTGCCCTAGCTTTAAAAAAAACAAAACAAAACACAACAACTTTTTTTTTTGTATTAGCTAAGTGGAAATAATAGAAATCTCTCTGTGTAATTTATTACTTCAAATATATTCTATTAGTCTTTCTAAGTAAGAGCCATAGGATAATTCTCATGTACTTTAATTATCAAAAAGTATTGGGGTAGGACATTATTCTTTGTGATCTCTCCAGATTCCAAAATATTTGATATTAAATGATGTCAGAGCTGGCCCCATGCAAAATGGATGAAGTGAAGTTTCTCCTAGGCTTGTTGGTCTTTAGTTGTGTGATTAAGTTTTTTTTGTGGAAATCTGTATCAAGTTTTCTTCCTTTTTCTCTTTCATCTTTTTATTAAAACCATTATTTTATCTTTATTTCTCTGCGTACATTCTGTTTTTTCTATAAAAAATAAGTTGATCTAGAAAAATGACAATATTTATTTTGCTTTATGAAGGCAGGAAAAAAAACCACATCTTTTACACACACACACACACACACACACACACACACTCTGTGTAGACCTTGCCTCATATGTTGCCTGCTTTGTATGTAGATGGCACTTAATTGTTTGGATAAATGAAGTAGTGCGTTAACTAAGTTTGTTTTCAAATGCGTTATTTTTTGTTTTTGTTTTTGTTTTTTTTGAGGTGATTTCCTCTATACCTGCAAGTTGACATTGGAGTATGATGCTTTCTATCCTCACCTAATGTTAGGAAAAGAATTTTTTTTTTGTTTAGGAGTTGTTATCAATAGCCTTCTCTACATTTTTCTTACTTTCTGTCTCAAAATATGTTTTGGTTTCCTTTCATGTCACATGTTCAACTTTTCAGATGTTCTTTTCAGATAGGAATACTTTCACTGGGCTCTGATTTCATATTATCCTTTTTAAGAAAAAAAAATCTGAATTTGTGATAGAATTTTTATTTAATTCAGCCTAGCAATCTTCAACAAAAAGTCACACTTCTATGTTCATTTCCAAATGTACCATTTTCAATTTAAAAAGAAAAAGGAAAACTAAAGTTCAGAAAATCAACTATATCTGATAGTTATATTATCATTTAATGTGAATTTTAGAGAAGTAGTTTGTATAGTCCTTATCAATGCCTTATTTTTGAAGTTCTGAAAATAAGATGTGCTTACCACAATCTAGTATATATGGACTTTTGAGGGAAAAAAAGCAGACATATGACCTTCATTATCTATGTCATTATTTTTTATAATGTATTACAACCAATATTTCAAGCATTAACTTCATATAGAACATTAACTGTGTTTGCCGTATCTGGAAATTTAGCCAGACAGTAAAGTGAAGAACTAGTAGCTGAAGTAATCAGGAAGCATTTCATGCAGGGGGTGGTGCCTGAACTGGGCTTTAAGGAAATTAGGGATTCCTAAAGATGGAGTTGAAGAGGCCTGGAATCGAGAGACGGAATGTCACATGTGAGGAATAACTAGAACAGTTGGTCTGGACCGTAGAAGACTGGAAGAGGAATGGTATGTAAGGCTGGAAAGGTGGGTCAGAGCCAGGTTGTGAAGGCCAAAAAAAGTTTTTTTTTATTCTCGAAGCAGAAGGGGGTCACTGGATCTTATTCATTAGGGAAGTGATGTGGTTAGACCTGTGTTTTAAGAGCATCACTTTGACATTTACATAACGTGGTTTGGAGAGGGAAGAGACATGAGGCAGGGAAGCTAATTTAGGCTGTTGCAGGATTCTTGGGGGAGAGCCTGACCTAGGCTCTTAAGGAGACAGATGTGAGAGATTTTTCAGAGACTATCTAAGTTTTGTGCATAGGCTGTCTTTTCTTCTGTGATATGGCTGCAGGTTTACATCAGTCACTCATTTAATGAGCATTTGCTGCTTAAAAGTAGGGGAAAATGGGCAGGAGAGACTGTTAACTTTATGTTGTATGTATTTTTATATGTAATGATTTTCATCTTTATGAGAAGGGATTATTTCATCCTTTGTACTTGTATCCCTAGTACCTGGCACAGTTCTGGCATATAGTAGAAACTTAATAAATACTTGCTAATTGATTGGTTAATTAATTTGTTAATTGATTTTCATTTGAAGAACAAATGTCATCTTCTGAACCCCTCCTTTGATCTCTCCATCCCTTCCCACTACATAACAACCTTTTCCTTCAGACTTCAGTGATGCTTTCATGCTTCTGTGATTTACTTTTTATGTGATATTATAATTAATACTTTAATATTGTATAGCATAGTTATATGTGTTTCTGTCTTTCCCTGCCACCCCTCTACCACCCCGCCCAAAACTAGTTACATGTATCATCCCCATTGCCTAGGATAAGGGTGGGGAACCTGCAGGCTTGAGGCCATGTGTGGCCTTCTAGGTCCTTGGGTGCAGCCTTTTTACTGAGTTCCAGTTTTACAGAACAAATCTTTTTATTAAGAGGATTTGTTCTGTGAAGTTTAGATTTAGTCAAAGAGCCACACTTGAAGACCTACAGGGCCATGTATGGCAGGTTCCCCACCCCTGGCCTAGGACAACATTCTGCAAATAAGAGGAACTATTTTTTTTTATTGAACAATTAAATGAATCACATTTAAAGTTCTACATTTTAAAAATTACTTCATGTATCTTGTTTAAAATAACTGAAAATAGGCTGTCCCAAATAAAATTCTGTTGCTTGCCTGTTGAACAACTTTTGAACAAGGGGTGACAAAAAGAAAAAAAAATAGTTTTGTCTCAACAGCTTGGTTCATAACGTCTTGGCCTGAGTCAAGATATTCTCACTCAAACTCAAAGAAAAGTGTTTATATTTTTAATCATCATTACCTGAAGACTTTCCTTCACTTATTTCCCTTGGAGTACCCAAGTGCCATTCTTAGTTATCACTTTTTATTTAATTTACAATAATATATGAAATGTTCTTATTTGAAAAAAGAAGTTATCAGTGGGTTCATAAAGACTGAAGAATTCTTAATTTAAAAAAATTTTTTTTTTAAAATCTGAGGTTCTTTCCAACGATCACTTTTATTGTTGTAGTTCAGTTATTTCAGTAGTGTTTAACTCTTTGTGGTCCCACTTGAGATTTTCTTGGCAAAGATACTGGAGTGATTTGCCATTTCCTTCTTCAACTCATTTTATAGCGGTAGAAACTGAGGCAGAATAGGTGAAGAGACTTGCCCAGGGTCACACAGCTAGTGAGTGTCAAAGGCCAAATTTGAAGTCAGGAAGATGAGTCTTCCTGACTCCAGGCCTGGCACACTATCTACTTTGCCCCCTAGCTACCCTAATCATCCCTTTTATAGCCCTCTAAAATTCTCATATTGCAAAGGAGTTCGGCACGTGGAACTCTGAGCAGCTTTTGCCTACAACTAGAACTAATAATACCTTTATATGGTATTTTAGGGTTTGTAAAGTTCTTTCCTCAGTAAAGCACTGTGAGCTAGTTGGTAAATATCCTAGGGTGTATTTCATTTCTGAATTTCCCCTCATTCTTTTCAATTGTATTGTTCTTATCCCTCAGTTAACAGTGCCTCTTACATTATAGTTTATTATTGCCCTGTAATTTTGCCTCTTGTGAATGGATACTGTGTAACTGTATGTAGAGTAACATCTTTTCCATTGAAATATACTGGTTAATGATATTGAAAACTGCTTTGTTATTCATTTTTAATTCAAAGCTGATTTTCTATCCCTTTTCTTGAAAACATCTGTCTTTATTTTTTGGTGCAGGGTGCCCCAGCTGTATATCATACCTCCAGGTCAATAGCTAAATGACCAGTTAAGGTTCCTTCAGCATTGTTTTGTGCCAGTAACATCTTGTTAAATGCATTGTTCTACTCTGATGTCTCATTATTGCATGAATGTGGCCTTGGGTGCTAGGAGGCTTTGGAACCCAGGCTCTGACAGATTGTACCAAGCTTTGAGTACAGTCCTGGCCACAGACTATCTGGTCTCCTAGGACTGGACTAGCCAGGTAGGTGCACAGACTTATCTTCACTAGGGGTGCATTATTCAGCCATGACAATCTGTGAGACAAAGCAAAATACAAAATAGCTCTCAGTCCTATACAGACCCCTTTCTGCTTTGACTATGTTGGTAACAGTGACGGAAGGTGCCGACGTAGTAAGCATTATTTTATCCGTGGGTGCTGCAGATGTGAGATTTTAGTTCAAGAACCAGTTGAGTGGACATAACATTAGAGAAACTGAATCATATAAATTTTATCATTCTCAATATAAATGAAATCATTATTAATTGAAAATGAAAGCAAGTTGCAACAAACGGGAAGGATGGCCCACAGGTTTTCTTTGAAAAGACGAAGGAATGGAGTTGGATGCATTATGTATCTAAAAGCAAGAAACATTGTTTCGTGAGACATCTGGTCATTTCCTATTGCAGTGCTCATGATAAGTATTGGGGTGGGGAGAGGGTATTATGAAAATGATTGCAGCTTATGTGCCAGCATCTGTTGCAGAAAGTCATGAGATGGAGACATTCCACAAAGAACTTCTTTGGAACTTCCACATTACTTAGTGACTTCAATGCAAAAGTAAGCATAGGTAAAAATAATGAAAAGTATATTGGAAAATATGGTTCAAGAATTTAGGAATGTGAGAATCCAAAGATTTCTTTAGACTACACAGAAGTCTCATGCCTGTATGTTATGCATATTTTCTTCAACAGTTGAATCAGAACATTCAGGACATGACAAGCTTAGAATAATATCACAAAAAATGAAGTTGATTCTTT